CACATTCTTCCACTTGCTGCTGCTCCTGGTGGTCCCCTGGAGATCGCTCTTCCATGACGACACATTTCTAGAGAGGGCGGGACTAAACCTGGAGAGCGAGGGGGGATTCTTCCAGCTCTCCCGGCCGGACGCTGGCGATGGTAGATGATCCAAAGGCGCGGCAGCAGCAGGAGGATGGCGCTTGTTGCCCGGCGGCTGTGGGCTGAGAGGAACTGGATCGAAGCGCACAGCGTCCGGCTCCTCCATGCTAGTTTTAGGGCACGAAAAATATTGATTTAGCTCGCATTAGGATTTGCTGCTGGTGGTCCGGTTTGTTTTTTCATGGGAAACGATCTTTTTCTCTTCATACCTGAGACCATGAGCCTGCGATCGGCTCGGTTTCGTTCTTTGGATTCCAGCCGATTCCAGCCGATGAGAAAACTCGTGAGTTTTCTCATGTTAAACAGCGGCGACAGTTTTATCCACTCTAATGAGAAAGTATCCAAATTATGCTTTCGATATTTCTTTTCACTGTGTTTTTCGCTTTTCAAATTCCTGTATCCAATCTATCCCGGCAAAACATACGAGAAACATCTTAGAACAGTGTTTGTAAGCTAGACACAACACTAAAATTTCAAACAAGAAAGCACTGAAACGTAAGTATAATCGTCGTCAGCTTTTCTCTTCGCAATCACCACCGAAAACAAGGAGAAAGCGAGCATCCCATAGCCATAAGCTAGATGGAAAGCATCCGACACACGCCGTGGAAGAGAAAACAAACATAAAACCATTTCTCTTGTTTCTATGCTTACCAATACCTTGAAGAGCTCTAGTGAGGAGTACGGGAGCCGCTTCGTCATAGCTCGTCTGGGACTAAACCTGGGGGGATTCCCGACCCGTTGTCCGGCGGCTGTGGGCTGAGAGGAACTGGATCGAAGCTGCTAGTTTTACGACAGGAAGAACTATGTTACTACATTACGCCACTGCTTAAATAGATGCAAAAGACTTGCACCGCAAAACCAAGAACAAGAAGAGAAAAAGCAGAGAAAGAGATAACTATGAGAGAAAAAACAGAGGGGGAGAACTCCTGGAATGACAACGCTCAGTAAGCAACGAGAAAAGAGAAAAACAAATAGGCTTAGTGCTTCTCTCGAGATCCAGCTCGGGAAACGCAGGATAAAAGCGATGCTGCTGCTGGAGACACGGTCGGAATTGCCTGCTGCTACATTCTCGAATTGCGATTTGACTCTGATCAGTCGTCTTCGTAAATCAATCGTCAACCTGACTTAACTTTTTGTTCCATTGCCTCGAGAATTCGTGCTCGGTTGCTCCTGCTCGGCCTCCTGCAAGTTGAATTCAAAGAACTTACTTATAGCACTTGTGCTGAACGGGCTTTCACCTTTCCTTCTTCTCTGGACTTCCAAAGAAGAAGCGAAGGCGAAAACGAGTTCATCGCATGTTGAGGTCTATTGAGCGAAAAATCTCCCTTCGAAAGCTCTCAGGGATGAAAGTTCGCTGCCCAGCTTACATAGTTATCTAATAGGCAGCGAATGTCCATGCTTGAGATCTTCAGAGAAACTCCAAAAAAAGCCTCAAGCAAAAGAATGCGGCAGAGGCTGGATTTCCTGATGAAAGAGGATGAATAATAAGCAATGAAACAAACTTGCCTGAAATATTTGCTTGGCTTCGAGCACTCGCCGTGCCTTGGTAACATCCAGAGACATATCTGGGAGTCATCCAAACCGCTTAGCAAATGACCTTCTTTGAATAGACTCCACGAAAGTCCATAGCCTTCGGTCTTGTGTCCCCGGACCTTATATCCGAGCTGCACACGCCCTCTTGAGGCGGCTCCCACATTCACACACAGATTTGCTACGGCTGATACGATCAAGTAGTGCCTACGAAAATGGATCTTGACAGAGACACAAAGCCTTACTTGTGCTCGGGGGAACTAAGGCACCGGATCCACGGCAAGAGAGGCAAGAGAGAACAAGAAACAGCAGAGAATTGATCCGTAAATAATCGTCATTGGCTTTGTCTTCGCGATGATCGGAAACAAGGAGAAAGTCCGCATCCCACAGCCGAAAGCTAGATGAAAGCATCTGGGAAGAGAAAACAAAGAAACTCTCGTCTTAAAGTCTTTTTTCTCCTTGCTATGCTTACCAACGCAACCAGTGAGGAATCCAATGAAGAGCCCCAGCGAGGAGTAAGGAGGAGGAGGACGAGAAGCAGCCGCTTTGAAATCGTGATATTGCATGAGCATGAGAGGCTTCACATCCTTCCACTTACTACTATGACGACACATAGGTGGAGAGCGAGGGGAATTTTAGCTCTCCCGACCGGACGCTGGCAGTGATGCTCGTTGACAGGCGGCTGTGGGCTGAGAGGAACTGGATCGAAGTATTTTGTCTGAGATGATATTCCTTTTACAAGAACGTAGGTTGCGTCATTTTGCAAACGAACTATATCTTCAACTATGTTTATGTAGGAACACAAATGAATCTATATCATTGAGCTCTACTATTGAATGTTGTTAGGAATTGCTACTTTCAAAGGGGTGGTCTCGTTGGCTGTTAATTCTTCAAAACTTCGCAACCAAAAATAAAAAACCAGGAGCGCTCGTAGGGCATAATGGGAGGTAACCAGCCGCGCTGTAGTGGTTTTATGCTGCCTCCGCCGCCCCGTGTCCGTGGCAGCAAATGGCTTCAGGAGGGGGAGGTCGAGTCCCTGGCCAGTAGCAAGTGCGAGGTGAGCTTACTCCCTTTTGGTACCTTAGACGACTGTCCTCGCAAGAGAGTGGATTGGAGTAGACTTGTGCAAGGCTGTGTACAAGAAGGCGGGAATGCTAGCTGGGTCGATTGCTTGGCGATTTGTGCAAGAGCCATGGCTAAGATCAAGGCACCCAAGCTTGAAACTCGGCCTGGAGGAGAGATGGTGATGCTATCTCTCAAAGGAAGCACGTCAGTGTTGAAAGCGAAGAAGATTCCCGATCACTTGTTGGAGGCGCTGGTAGCTCGGCATCCAGTGGTGACCAGCCTGCGCTGCAACCAGGGACGCGTGATCGATCCTGGCTTTACTACTGGTCATCTCAATCCGTATCCATTCTACAATGGAGACTACAATCTGGACTGTATCCCACGCTGCTCGGTTTTGGTAGGCTACGACTGCACCATCTTCGACACAGCATTCAACATAGTTTATAATGTTCGTAAAACCGGGGTTGACTTACTCACTGGAGTGGGAGAGATCGTACTCGTGCCTATGTAAGATTTCTGTCTGATTCCGTCTGAATAAACTACCCCCTGTGTATTTGCTTTGTGTTTTATGGTGTTTGCGAATGGAGGGACTACATGAAAATGCCTCCAGAGGTGGACCATGGTGGAGTCATTCGAAAGCTCCCCTTCTGATGTAGACACAGTCTTGGCTCGACTTAGATTTTCCTAAAACAGGTGCCCTTTCAGCATCCCAGAGACATATCTGGGAGTCATTCGAGCAGTTGGCAAATGACCAGAAAGTCCATAGCCTCCCCTCTTGAGGCGGCTCCCATATTCACACACAGATTTGCTGTGACTGATAGGATCAAGTAGTGCCTGAGAAAATGTATCTTTACAGGAAATACAAGAGAGAGCAACCTTACTTGTGCTCGGACTTGAACGAACGCGAGAAACAGAAGCGAAAAGAAAAAACTACAGACCCATAAGTATAATTGTTGTCTTCGCGATGATCGGAAACAAGGAGAAAGTCCGTATCCCACAGCCGAAAGTTTGGTGGAAGAAAACAAAGAAACTCTCGTTTTTTCTATGCTTACCAATGCGACCAATGAGCACTCCAATGAAGAGCTCCAGCGAGGAGTAAGGAGGACAACCAGCCACTTCGTCATCGTGATCTTCTGCATGAGCGTGAGACGCTTCACATTCTCCCACTTACTACTGTGCTCTTCCAAAACGACTGTGAAGAGTGAGGGAATTTTTAGCTCTCTCGACTGGAAAAATATCTTACTTTGCTTAGCAATGCGTTGACATCCAATTTAATTACAGATGAAAATTTTGAAAGGCTTTGTTGGCTTGATCAGCCCAATCGTCAACATGGCCTCGAGAATTCTTGTCTCTGGCTCCTGCTTGGCCTCCTGCAACTTGAAATCGTGCTTAATTTCTTTTCGAAGGAGGTGAAAGAACGAACTTACGAATCGCATTGCATCGGCTGCGATGAGCGGGCTTTGACCTCTTCTTCTCTGGAAAATGATTGATCTCCCTTCGAAAGTTCTTAAGCATAAATGCTTGCTGCCACTGCACGAACAGAGCTATGGAAAAAAAAACTCCAAAAGAAACTTTTAAAAAACCTCAGTAAAAGTCTGCGACAGAGGCTGGATTCCCTCCTGCATTTTTTGCGCCTCATGGAGAGCGCACGCATACCTCTGCAATCAACGAGCATTCTTCCAGCCAGTAAATTAAAAGGTGACCACTTACAGCCCTCAAGGAAGATATGGTCTGGACTGCAGGAACTTTGTCTTCCTTCTCGCCACTGCAATCACCGTGTTGCTCAAAGTTGCCTTTGAACAACTCGGTGATTGCAATAGCAAGATGTGGAGCGACGCTTGGCTCCGCCGCAATAGCTCGCAGTTCGTCGTTCAGAAGACGCATCGACTCCAACTCCGTCGTCTGCCCCTGGAAAGAAAGCATCAGACAAATGTCATGAACGTCAATCTTCTTACCGGGCCTCCATGGCTGGAGCTTTCTTTGTGCTTCTTGTTGCACGGAAGAACTTCCAGGGATGCGGAGTCTCTCTGCCTTTTCTGACTCTCCTGATCCTGTCGTCGCGGCGCCCCCGAGCTCTGAAGTGTAGACACATGGAAATCCAGCATCTGGTTTATAAGGAAGTCGTGGGAAGAGACGTCGTGGCTATCATGGGGATGATCGATCGGAAGGACCTCCATTGCAATGAACAAGATTCTCACGAAGAAAACGAAGCTAAAACAAAAAATCAGCACTCAGGAAAGAAAACGAAGCAACTAGAACAAAAAATCGGGGAAGAGCTACCCGAGGAAGCTGAAAGGCCAACGGCCACTGGCACCTCAAGAATCAGAGACTACAAACATGAGATCTGAAAATTTCTCAATCCATCCATGTCTTGGAAATGTTGACGAGTATACCGGATATTCCAGGTATATTCTTCAAGCTTCACCAACTAAAGAAAATCTTCTTTTATCAATTTGTTGCAATCGCCATGTCTTCCGCGACGTCGTCCTCGTCGTGGTAGATGTTCTCCGCCATCTGCCATATCTGGAGAATGTTGTCCTCGGCCACGCTCGCCACAACCCAGTCGTCCTTGTTGTTCCACGAGAAATCCGAGATCTTGCTCGTGTGGCCGCCGTGAATAAATAAAAGCTCCGGAGGGCCATCCTCGGCGTCCTCTGGTGTTTGTTCTTCACCAATCCTGGCAGAAAAAAGAGCGACTTTTACGATCGAACGAGTGAAAAGATCTTTTTCTCTTCATACCTGCTGAGATCCCAGACCATGAGCCTGCGATCAGCTCCACACGAGGCTAGAATGGTTTCGTTCTTTGGATTCCAGCCGATTTGAAAGACCTCCTCCCTGAATGTCAGTGTGAGAAGCTACAACGATTAGAAAGGAAGGATTCTCTACCTGTGATTCACAAATGTATGCAACGGACTCGTGAGTTTTCTCATGTCGAACAGCGCGACAGTTTTATCCGCTGATCCAGTTGCTAGCACCCACTCGTTTAAGGGATTAAACGCTAAACAGTTCACCTGTAACCAAGATCTTAACGAAAAAACGAGAAAGTGTCCAAAGCTCTGCTTACCTCGTTCTTATGAGCTTCAATCGCGTGCAAAGGCTTGTCCACGGTCTGGACTCTGATGTCCCAAATAAATAAGTGACGATCATCGCCTACAGAGCCGAAGAGATACTCGTGCATGCAATGCCACGCGACGTCTTCCACAACATTGTTGTGTGCCTGTGAACAAAGAGAGAGTTTGAATCATCTTACAAACGGGATGAAAATGAAAGAATGAAAAAAACCTGCCTGAAAGATTTGCTTGGCTTCGAGCACTCGCTGCGCCTTGGTCACATCCCAGAGACATATCTGGGAGTCATCCGAGCCGCTTAGCAAATGACCTTCTTTGAATGGACTCCACGAAAGTCCATAGCCTTCGGTCTTGTGTCCCCGGAGCCTTATATCCGGGTTGCAAACGCCTTCTTGAGGCGGCTTGGAAGGGTGCTTGCTGTAGTCGAAAACAAAAACCTCGGCACTCACGGTCTTGGTGGCGATCACAAAAGGATTTTGTGGCATGTAACGAGCTCTATTCACCTCGCCATCGTGGTTGATCTGTTGAATCACCTGGACCTGGAACAAAACTCCATCATGTCAAGAACAAAAACTTCAAGTGGAACTAAGAACTAAAAAAAATCCAAGGAGCTAGAACGCCACCAGCAAGAACTTCCAAGGACTAGGAAGATAAAAATCTGGAATCTAGAACGACACGACGCCTCTAAGACTAAAAAGAGGATTTTTTTCCTTACCTTTCCAGTGGCAGACCCGAAGCCGCCCATCTCACCACGCTCGTCGTCATACACCCGAGCATCGCTCTCGGTGTCCTCCAGAGGGAGCTGGACCTCGGCGATCATCAAGAAATTGGGCTCATTGTCGGAGGTGTGAGTGCCCAAGATTAGCTTCTGGACCGAGTAATCCTTCCCTGGCGGCTCCACCCGATCTGGCAGCCACTGCACCGTGAGCGACGGCCACTCGAGCGCGTGCGTGATCACCAGATCATAGAGAAAGGGCGTGTTCTTCTTCCAAATCTTGTACTCCTCGTTTACCAGGCGCTCCTCCGACTCGTCGCGGAACTCCTCGTCCTCCTTCGACATCGCGCGCGGCAAATGCAGACCTGTGACAAGCTCCTCCCCGCCCGCGCGCTCGCTCCTCGCTCTCCCGCCGCAAGAGAAAACCCTAGGGCGCCAAAAACCTTGGAACCGTCCACGTGGGCAATACTTCCAGGTGGACGCGACACGTCGGATTTCTGCCAGCAGTTACGCCTCGGTGGCATTCTCTTTTGGGGGGAAGTTAAGATTAGGGTTCCTGGGGGCGCGGCAATATTTCGAGAGCGCTATGGCGACTGCGCGACCCGATCGGCTGTGAGAGATGGGGCGGCCGTCTGTGTTTGTGGTGATATTCATCATTGTAGCTCACATTATCTCTTTCGCGATGTCTCTTGGGGCGGAGACTCGACGAACAAAGGTAAACCTCTCGCGCTCTCTCCGAGAGATTTTTCATTGCGAGTCTTCCAGGTAGTTTGGGAGTATGATCCCAATAACCAGTACTACTATTGCAAATACAAGCTAGACATCGCTAGTGGTCTCGCTGGAGCGGCCTTTGTATTTAATCTCCTCTCGTTTCTGTTGATCATGGGAATGACCAAGTGCTACTGCTGTGCCGGTCCTCACAAGCCCAGTGGAAATCGATTCTGTGCACTCCTCTCCTTTTTTCTCCTCATGTAAGTAGCTTTGGAGCTTTTCATTCCAGCTTTGATTTTCTCTTCGTTGTTCTTGCAGAATCGTGTTTATAATTGCCGAGGCTTGCCTTCTCGCCGGTGTCAACCGCAACCAAATGAGAACAAAGACGATATACTTCCAGGGGCAAAACGTTCCCGACTGTGAGACTATAAGCAAAGGCATCTTCTCGGCGGCGGCGGCGTTTACGTTCTTCTGCCTGATACTGAGCTTATCCTACTACGTTTCAGCCGCAAAGTCGGAAGATAGCTATCCGCTGCCTCCGCGGCCACCGTCGGTCGGGATGACAATGTTTCCCCAGCAGCCATCCGGCCCGAGTCCCTATGCCTTGTAAGCTCCCGCTTTTCACGACGACGACGAACTCCGGGACTTCTTCTTTCAACTTTCCTGGAAGCGATCGGTCACACGAAGTAAGTTTTTTTTTTTTTTTTCCTCTCTTATGGACAAAACGTGATAATGTAATCGCCACCGCTTGGACAGGGAACCAATTTCGGATGGCAATAGTGGTTGCGACACTGGATAGACTTACACCCGGCAGCGGTCGGGGAGATGGCGAGGGGGACGCTCCCGCGAGAGAACCTGATACCATAAAAGTCGGTGTCTCCGGAGTGGCCGGAATTGAGCTGGAACTCGGCTATACTGGATGGAAGAAGGTTGGTAATGTAGAAACTTCCCGAGAGAGCTGCGGTGGATTCAACAGGGACCTGTCCGGTGCCTCCAGCCTCGAGCGTGAAGACGTTCCTCAGCGCCGTGTGGTCTCCTTCCATATGCATCTGGACGTTGAGAGTGAAGTCGCAGTTATTCCTCGTCTGGAATGTGGTCTGGAAAGTCACAGCTGATCAGAGCAGGACAACGATCGTTAGAACCATAGATCTGCAGGTGGAAGGGGAAAAAGCAAGGCCCGCAAACAAACCGTGAACTGGGATCGTCGAAAAGAGCAGTAGCAGCAGCGAAGCTATGATCTTCTTCATCTTGGTCGGGGGCAAAATCACGCACGCAGCAAAGCTCCGGCTTATGAATCGCGGCCCGGGGAGAAATCACACAAAGTAATCGGATGTAAACATGGTTTTCCAGGAGAGCTTGAGTGGATATCCAGGAGTCCAGATAGCTTTCACGAGGAACAACAGAGCTCCCACTATGGCGACACTTGGAAGAGTGTCAGAGGTGGTATATTGCGATCCAAAACTCCACTATCGTCACTAAATCAAATAGAATCGGCATATTCCATATTCTATTTCCCGCATAAACCCTAGAAAGAAAATTTTGTGGACTGGAGGCGGACAAGGTGCTGCACTTGGTGAAGCACTGCTGCTACTGGATTTGCCGCCATCGTTCTCCATGAGAATCGCGAGCGCGCGAGGTTTTCACTTTGGGCCGATGTTCCGCGGCATAATCCGTGATGAAGAGCATTTTGGAGGAAAAAATTTGTTTGATTGATACGAGTGAAGATGCTGCTCCCCAGTGACTGGTTTCTTCATTACGAAGGTTTTTTCTTTTCTTCTTTCCTTCTTGATTTTCATTTTAACTTCTTACAGGTTATAGTAATGCGATGAGATTCCCAACACTCTTTGATGATTTACTCGACCATCTTCCTCTCTGCTGCAGACACTGCTTTTGCTACGACAGATATGACTCCGTCGCTAGGCTCTAATATGAACGAACGCGGGAAAGATTAGAAAGCTTTTAGGCTAAGAGACTTACCATGCCGTTTAATCACGGCCTTCTTCCCATCTTCGAAAGTGGTGAAGATCGTGTAAGGAGCTAGATTCTTATCAAACTCAGTTTCTAACTGCATAAGCATATGATCAGAAAACATTGAATACCAGAAATATACCTCTGCCGGATCTGTATGCTTCACAAAGATTTCCAGAGAGACTTACGCTTTAGAAACATAAAAAGCGGTGAAGGGTCCACTCAAGAAAGGGCTACACTCGTTTACCCAGACTTCTAAAGCGTTCTGGTGCAGAGGCAAAGATTTGACTTCGTTAAACCTGGACGAGGTGATCATCCGCGTATGTTTACTGTGCTTTGTGCAGTCTATAGCTCTTGAGAAGGCTCTGAAAGAGTCTTACGATGGACTTCTACTAGGAGAGCTTATATAGCCTTTTTAGTAAATCTTCTCCTCCACCAATCTGTTAATAACACTCGTCCTGATGGGACAGGATTTAGTCAGTGGAAATTCATCGTGAGTCTTATGTTCGGCTGTCAGGAGTCACAAGATTTCCTAGATTATTACTTCGTAGACTTACAGGACGTTGATTTGCAGCCACTAAGGACTCGGACACGGCTTTTTGTCAAGGTAAATTCACTCTAGCAGCTCTGACTAAACTAGACATGGCTATGCCAGTCTAGTTTCTGGAAGTCATCAAAGCAGGGACTCAAGAACAACGAGTCAGATGTTGCTCTTGATGATTCCTCGTGGTTCTCAGCCGACAATTTCTTTTGGTTGCTCTTGAAGGTAACTACATTTTTACATGTGTCACGTTTTTCTCATCTATACCTGGCAGGACTCATAGCTACAAAAACGGCTGGGATCCTGGCTGTGTTCATTGTGTTTCATGAACACGGCCATGGGTCGTGTTCCCATGGCTGTGTTCATGAACAATATATACTATTACAAACACAGGCCATGATCCCGGGCCGTAAACACCAACTTAGGGCACATGCAACAATCTAGAGTGCACCACACATGGTGCAGCAATCTAGCATACTGTAGGGATAAAGCATCCTTTTTCATGGTGGTGGAATGAGGTAAGTGTGCTTGAGAGCAAGGTTTGGTCATGCAAATATTGCACAATGGTGAACAAGCTCAATGACATTGATCATGTGTGAGGTAATATGTTTGGAGAAGGCTTAAGCAGCAAGGATATTGTGCATTGCCCCTTTATCCTAAGGTAACAAGAAGATAAAACTGGTTAATGTGAAAAAGGTTATTGACTCTGAAAAAGGTAGAAGGGGGAAGAAATAGTTGAATATAGAACTTTTATGGACACGTGGCACGGTTTAGGTTCTGCTTATACATGAACTATGGACACGTGGCATATGACACGTGGCACATAATTGTGTTATCCTATGGTAAATTACCATAGGATAAAGGGTAAAAACCACATGCGCTACATTTGGTATCAAAGAGTGAGTCTTGGCGAGTACTATCTAATGTGATTGGGCAACTAATTTCATTGCATACGCAGAGATAAAAACGATGATCCGAATGGGTACATATTTAGGTGCAAAGACTTCGCATTCGTTCCTTGGGTATGGATTTGCTTACCTTTTTGTACTGTAATAATGTGAGCTTGCTCTTGGGCTCATAAGTTAGATATAAATTGTTTTGTTTGCACAAGTTGCTTGGGCTCGTTAGTGAGGCACATTAGCAACTTGAGGTTACACTTTGAGTTGGTAGGATTAATGTTAGCCTATTGTTAGTTCCATGAGTTGTTCCATATACCGTGAGTTGAAAATAAACCTTCTTTGGGTTTGTTATGAGTGGCAAATAAGCTGGTTCGTAGCTGTTTAGCATGGCACTAATGGATACTTCTTAAGTATGATTATAAGTGGATCAATTAAGACTGTAGGGATTAGTTTATTGGTTCAAGTAATCATTGCCATGCTCTCTCATAAACTTTTCTTGGATTGAATTGAAGGCAGTGCGAAACCAAGCATGAGGTTTAGTCAAAGATGAGATAAAAAAGAGAGTCATCAGGGATGAAGGATCAAACACGTAAATCATTTTCTCTTCTTGAAGAAATGATTTACAACGAAGTGTGACTCATTGCTCATGTTCATAATATGCAATCAAGAGTCCCTATCTTGATGCATGTTGGTTATGATGGTTTTGTAAATGGTGAGTCGTGGGATGGATAGCGGTAAAGCACTAAACCATTTTGTCTAGGCTTGCTATTGAAGACTTGGGTTGCAATGCTCAATTCTTTTTCGGGGAACCTTGCTATTGCTCCTTGAGTAGCTTGGTGTTGGATTAATTTGAGATTAATCGGAAAAAGAGTGGGATGAGTTTGTCCGTGTTGTGAACAAAATTTAGTGGTGTTAAGTGTTGTAAGTCTTTATCGATGGAGTGTGGCATTTATGTTGCATTTTGTCGAGTCTAGTTCACATTTGATACTCACATAAACCTTTGTAATAGTGATAGGTGCATTGCTCATTGTGCTCAAGTGATAATCAAGTCATTGTGATTTTATATCATATCCATGTGATAGTGAGCAATGTGTTTATGAAGTTGTTTGGTTAAATAATGATCAACCCCAAAGTGGTTGATGGTAAAGTTAGTTTACTTACACATAGTAATATTGTAGTAGCTTTGATTAGATTCTTGATGGTGGTCTATTATGCTAAGCTTAAGTTGGTTCTTTGGTTCCTTGAGGGTTTGCCCATTGAGGTGTTAGAAGGGGTTGTAGCATCTATTTGTTATAACTTGTCAAATGATCCATTAACACTTGGAGTAAATTGTTGAATGGAGAAGATGTATATGTACACAACCAAAGAGAACGACTTGAGAGATGATCCATAGGGTTCAAATATAAAGGGAAAGGGCCTATATGGGGTTAAATGTTTTTGGGTTTGAATAGTACTGGGTTGGGTGACTTTCGGGAAGTCCAAACTCAATTGAGGCATTAACATCACTAGCACTTATGTTAGTGGAAGTGGCATTGTTATTTCAAGTGATGAGGAATTTTCCTTAGAGCTTGATTTTCCATGTCATTTTTTTTATTAGTGTTTTGGCTTCACATTGGATCTTGAAGGTAGTTGAAGAAGAGTGTTAGTACAATGTGGATATCCGAAGATGTGGTCTTTGTGATCAAGTCTTGGATGTTCACTTTGTATTTTGTGGATGTTAGTGTTGGATATCGAAAAAATGGGTAAAGATGTTCGATGCTTAAGCATACTATTGGTTATGAAAATTTGTGTCGAGGTGAATCTATGTGAAGTTGTTGGTAGGAGGAAGTTTGTTGAGTCTTGAAAGTTTGCATTCCTGGACTGAGAATTATTCTTTCTTTAGGATGGAAATTTTTTTGCAAATTTTCTTAAACTTTTCCAATAGCTGATTTATTGATCATTTTGTCCGAAAACCATTCCGTTTTCGAAAGCCAATACAAACTAATGAAGGGGTTGGAATTGACTTCGGTTGACTTAAACCTTAGTATGTAGTTTGTATGATGCGGCCCAAAAGGGATGTTGACTTTTGAGGCTAAAGTAATTGAGTTGGATAGAGTTTAGAGTTGGTGTAAAAAAGTGACTGTTGCGCTTTTCTAAAAAGGGTGACTTTTGTGCTTTTCTTCTATAGCATTGTGCTTTGTGATAGGTTGCATTTTGCATTTCATTAAACTCTATGAGAGTAGTGAGCTCTGACTGATCTTGACTTGGTCTTAGTAGCCTTGCTCCTTGGCTAAGGATGGTGATATCCAACTTAGTTGTTTAAAGTTGAGATGTTAGTACCTATATTATAGCTTTGTCTATGAGGAGGTTGTGTATTGATATGAGTCCATCTCATAGTCTTCACTTTAGTTTAGACTAAGTGTTCATCATGCATAGCTAGCCTTTTCAAAGCATGCTTAGAGATATTGGCTAAATGCATTAGTGAACTTATTTTGGTTAAGTTAGATTCGAGTGGTCATTTAGTTTATACTTGTCAATGAACCTATATCTTGTACATGAGGTATTACATTACTATTAGACAAATATATGACATGATGGCATGAGTTTCATGTTTGGGTTTTATGAAGGAAATTTGAAAGAGTGATTGTCGATTGCTTGGCAACTAGTGATTGCTTATAGACTTCATCAAGGATTGTTTAACACTTGCTTCACTCGATGATGATTTAGTAGTGATGGGCTTGCTTTACCAAATGGTGTTGCAGAGGATCGTGTTGTTAGACTTACATGGTTTTTCCATGTTCCACCTCTGTCGATATCATTTTTGGTTGTGTTTACTCTATAGTATTGGATTTCATTGAATCTTGGATATGGTGATTCACTCCTTGCGAAAGTGTTATCTGTAACTAAATATTGTTGAAGAATTAGTCTCAGATACTGACTAAAGTATCTTTGACTTTGGTTAGCTTGGTTGCTAGAGAGTTTTGGGTAGTGATTCACTCTTACTTTCTTTTAGCTTTATTTTAGTGTTGATGACATTGAAGTGATGCTTGTCATTGAAAATATTAATGTTAAGACTCGA